AGGGTGTGCCGAATGAAGACTGAGACTGTACCAAACGAAATCGGTGCTCTGAGCCCCGTGAGAAAAGGAATGGACAGTTTTACTAAGAATCTCCCAGGTAACATACAAGTTGACCAGAATATCGCCGTAAAAACAGAATTGAAACCAAAATAGTAGTATTTCAGAAAACTCCCTTCCTCTATTCTGCGAGTATTCGCCAAAAGTCCTTGAGTTTTGAGAAATCTTGTTGACCCAAAGTTTCAAGACCAGAATTTTGAGTGCAACCCCAACATTTTAAATAATTACACCGATTTCACACTATGCATGATTCTCCTGGATTCTGATATTAGCTGCTTGGTAGATTTAACACATACATTTTTTCTCTTGGCGAATTAAATAGTAAGGTTAATATTGGCCGTTTCCTTATAAGGAAACATTCGGCATTCATGAACCGAACAGCCAGTGTAACTGTCAAGTAAAATTTGTAAAATATTTCTCTTAAAACAATTTTTCAGGAAAATACAAGGTAAGCAAAAAAGTTATGTCCGTTTTTAAAGGAAAAATTAAAACGCTTCATAGTATGTGTAACTTATATTTAGTCTTCGAAGTAATCGCCATCGGCATCCAGCCCCTTCTGCCAACGTGTCTCCAGCTTTTCAATGCCCTTGCGGTAGAAAACGGGGGGTTTTGACGCAAAGTCCGTGAGGGCTTTGCGCAAGTCTGCTTCTTTCGTGAAGGATTTTCCACGAAGATGATTATCCAGGAAGTGGAAGAGGGGGTAATCGGATGGCGCAAGGTCAGATGACTAAGGTGGATGGCACAAAGTCTCCCACCGAAGTTGATGTATTGTATCCCTGACCACTCGCGCGACATGCGGCCTGAGGTTGTCATGGAGGAAAAGTACTGGCTCCTTCTGGCGCAATGCCTGTTGCACACGTTTCAATTGCTGCGAGTATAGGTCTCCAGTGACCGTTTGGCCCGTTGGTAGCAGTTCATAATGAACCACTTGACGACCTGTCCACCGGACACAAAGCATAATCTTGCGTGGGTGCATAGGCGGTCTTGCGGTGTGAGGGACAGCATCCTGAGGAGACAACTAATGTCTGGAACGCTTGGGAGTTTCATACAGAACCCACTTGTCATCACTGGTAAGCACTCGATTGAATAAGGATGTGGTATGGTGGCGAGAAAGCAGCGATACGCAGGGTGCCACTCGTTGTCCCTTGTGAACCTCCAACAACGTTTGCGGAACCCACTTGCTCAGTTTGTACGTCTTACCTAGGCGGTGAACCTAGGCGGTGAAGGTGAAGTCTAACTGTTTCACCGGAAACGTTGAACTGTCTTGCAAGTTCACCACACGTTAGACTACTGTCCTCTTAAGTGGCCGCCTTCAGGACTCCGTCATTCAAGACCTGTGTTCATCCACTGCGAGGCTCATCATGGAGAGACAAATCTCCCGACTTGAATTTTCGAAACCAACGCCTTGCAGTACGTTCATCCACAGCACTATCCCCAGACGCTTGACATATGCGGTGACTTTATGCAGCTGCTGATCAGCCCACTTTGAAGTCGTAAAGCAAACAGCCCCGAACGAGATCTCTAGACATTTCCATCTTTCTCACAGCTGTCAGACTTATAACTGATGGCCGGGCACGGTGCGCATGTTTTTTTATAACGTCTGATGTTTCTACTTCCGGCTGTCCGAATTTGAAAACAATTGCTACACGCATTTCGTATATATTTCAACTTCATTCAATGACTAATCAAAAACGGACAGAACTTTTTCGGTTACTTTGTAGTTTGCACAAGTCGTTAATTGTTTTCGCTCTTTCTCGTATTAATGCGTTTTTCCTTACTACATTTTCTTTGGTGTCGTGCGGAATGTCGGCATTATAAGTATATCATTAATTTTTCTTCGATTTATATCTTATTTTTGCCAGTATTAAAATTCTTCAAGTGATGTGATTTCTGTCATTTGGCAACGTTCTTTGTTTGAGATTCTGTAGAGCCAGTCTCTGAGATCCAAACAAGTATTTTCCTCATGGATTACAGAACATATCCCGTTTAATACCTCATATATTCTTGTCAACGGCTGTTCTTAACTAGTTGATGATGTCTGCTACAGAACGATCCTCTGCACATCTTTTTACATGAACAGAAAGTGCAGGGGAGCATCGTGGCCGTGTATCGAAGAGGATTTATTTCATATGATGGATGGGACAACCAAGGCATCTTGGAAGTCACAACTAGTTTCTTGAAAACACCATTAATTGAAGATCGTCTCATCGGACTGGGTTACTTGAACTCAAAGTATCTTTCGCTGGGTCACATCTGCAAGTATATGCGCTAGTTTTTCGAAACTTGTCGATATATGGCACTAATCCAACGTTGATGAATGTGCCTGGTATATATTTATCAGACTGGCTGACATGAAAGCTATATAGGATTTCTTATTTTGTACCCCTACGGTCAGATTCGCTTCTTACAGCAACAATAATAATAACAAAAATAATAATAATAATAATAATAATAATAATAATGCTTTCTTTTGGCGAGTTTATACTGGCTGTACTATTAATGAATGCCGAATGTTGCCATATAAGGAAACGTCTAATATTAACAGTACAATCTTAACTCTTTTTCTCTCCCTCTTTCCTCCATTCGCATATGGTTACATGTTGTTTTTCTTTCTTTTTTTATGTGCCGTGTCCTTTCAGGACGTAGACAATCATGGCTCTCCACTTCTCCCTATCGCTTTTAGCTCACAATAAGTTTCATCCCTTTGCCACCTCACCCAGACAATGTTCTGTCATCCAGCCCGCCACGTATGTCATGCGTTGTTTTCTCTTGTCTCTCTTTCCCTCTATTCGACCTGTTAGTATCAGATTATCCAGGCCTTCCTTTCGCATTACGTATCCTAGAAACTTCAGCTGCTTCTTCCTGATGTTAAGTATAAGCCACCTCCTCGTTTGAATCCTCTTCAGGACCTCATCATTGCTCACATGCACGGTCCATGATATCCTCAGCATCCTTCTGTAGAACCATATCTCCGTTACCTCGAGTCTCTTCTACATCTTTAAGGAGACCGTCCAACATTCAATGTCGTAAAGGAGGACAGATGCCATGTAACAGCTCAGTACACTTTTCTTTGTAACCAAGGAAATCCTTCTGACAGCTTTTTGAATGCCTCCTTGGGCATACGAATACGTCTACGGATCTCAGTCCCACATTTACCGTCCTTTGTCAAAACACTTCCCAGATATTTAAACTTCCACACCTGCTTAATTTTAGTGTCCCCGACAAGCAAATCGCGTTTCGGGCTCATCCTTTTAGCGTCTTTAGAAGTTGACTAATCCGAAAATGCCTTTGCCTGACTTTTTCTTTGAGTGAGAATTAAAATTTTGTGGGCTAAAAGGTTCAGAAGTTACCGCAAATGTAATATATATATATATATATATATATATATATATATATATATATATATATATATATTCTGCCCGTACCAAATAAGATGATGTAAACAAACTCCGTACCCATCAGTGACTACATAGTGCAGGGTTAAAAATTGAAACTGCACAGAACCAATGCTTGAAAGCTAGAAAGTACCAAGCACATATACTGAAAAACTATGATAGACCAAAATGCAGATTCTGTGTTAAATACGCAGAAAGAATTTACCATCTTGTATCGGGTTGTACTGGCACCCACTGAATATAAAAACTGGCATGATAGAGTGGGCCATTATCTGCATTGGAAAATATGTAACCTTTACGGAAAAGAAACTACAAAAAATTGGTATGAACACAGCCAGACCTCATTATGGAGATAGGATTTGTAACAATTTTATGGGACTTTATAATACACGCAGACAGAACACAAAAAGTTAATCGTCCAGATATCGTGATTAGAGATCGCACATATAAAATATGCTTTCTTATTGACATGGCAGTCCCTGCAAACTGGAATGCATCTAGAAGATCTTCAAAAATCTACCAAAATACAAGCACCTTGAAATCGTAATCTTAAAAATGTTGGAGCCCTCGGATTGATTGAAAAAGATTCCAATAGACTCACTAAAGTGATTCTTGGTAGCCCATGCCTTAAAGAAATACAAAACATTCTGCTGAAAAGTACAGCCCACAATTTTATCTATGTAAAATGTAATGAATCTTAGTTTCTCTTTTTTTGACTTTTTTGTTGGTTTTTTTTTTTTTTTTTTTTCTGGGGGGTTTTTTTGGTTTTTTTTTCAAATATCATGATGCCATTTCTGACCTTAGGTCTTTGGTTGGAACACGGAAAAAGTGAGTATACACCAGAAATCAAAGGAAATGAAATAAATACTACTACTACTACTACTACTACTACTAATAATAATAATAATAAATAATAATAATAATAACTGAATGCTCGAAAAGAAACTATGCCCATGTTTGTACCATTACCTCTTAAATCTTCTGCGCATTACCAAAACAAAGAAAGGAGTGATGAACTGTTATGTAATATAAATTATCCTCTATGGCAGTGAATGCGGAACGATCTTCTCCGATGAATAAGAGACTTGAGGCAGCCTAAATATGATTCAACAGAAGGATGATGAGAATCACATGAACTAAAAAAAGAAAATCGGAAATTTTTGAAAAATAGGATATTTATACTAAGAATTAGAAAGAGACATTTGAAGATTTTTAGGATATTTTGTGAGCAAATCTGGCTTTGAGTATCTGACATTTACAAGACATACTGAATGAAAGACGGACATAGGAAGGCATCTGGTAACCTACCTGGCGAACTTGTGTAAATGGATGACAGAAGAGAGATTGGTAAGGATAACTAACAAACAAAACTTACTAAGAGCTACACAAGATAGGATGTAGTGGAGAGTTATATTCGCTCACGGCCTGAATTAACTCGTTACATAGAAAAGAAAGCGAATAATTTCAGACATATTCAATAACATTTGGTAAAATTCGAGACAACATGGCAACTTTAATGCTTTGCTTTGTTCTCAATTTCAGTAAGAAATGAGGAGGGATTCAAGTCCCTTGACCAACCCACCCTCTATATCTGTGGATGTACGTTTTGTTACGGTGATCCAATCTCCTGAGTAGGCGTGGCTTGTGAGATGATCCGCATTCGAAATCCTGGCTTTTATTCAGGTTCAAACATCAAGCAAGTCTTTTTTCAGATTGTTAAAATGGAGAAATAATCATTTTATATAATTCACAATCCATATCGTCCATGAAGCGAAAAGCATAATAAACATAAAATTTGAGATATTTTTTTCATTTCTACTTCTGCCTACTCGCAGGAAATTGACTTTATTATCAGAGATAAGAGTTTTCCCTGTGATATAGATTATCTCAAGTCTATCACAGATTAGAGGGGTCAACGTTTAACTAACCGCTGAACTGATAGATTTTGTTAAGCCACAATGTTAGAACAATCGATCTTAATCCATTCAGCTGAATTTGCAATAGAAATTTTACTCCAACTGAGGAATTCTGATGGCATCTAGGAGATTGGATAGTAATCTCTAGACTGTGTATCAGACATAAACGGTTCTGGCCTACTGCTCAACAGGATTAATGATGCGTTTGGAAAAAGGGGAGAATCATGAAAGCCAGAAGAAATGGTTGATAGGCATCGGAGCGGAAGGAAATCTTTAGAACTTCAAATGCGTTCAATTCAACTAGAATGAAAGCAAAGGGATAGAGAAAAAAACATATTTCAATGGAAATGAACTTCCAAGTTTTGGAAGGTGATAGAGGGTTTTTTGGTGCGTAACTTTCACAAGCGTTTTCTTCCTATCTATCTATCTATCTATCTATCTATCTATCTATCTATCTATCTATCTATCTATCAACGCGTGTGTGTTTCTGGATCAATACATCTATAGCCTGATATTGACAGTTAATGCCTAAATATTTTACCTTATAATAGTCTATCTATATATGGAAAATTCGCCACCGAATTAAGTGTATTATAAACGAAGGAGATTATGTTCAAAAGAAATTATTCGTTGTATTAGATTAACGTATTTTTACAGAATGTGCCTGCTGACTTGGACAGGTTGGAAAATGTGACACAGAAATCCAAAGACGCATTTGAAAATCGGAAGATGATTTTAACATGCTAAGTTTTAAGAAACAGAAATATTTCGTTGGGAACAAATAGTCAAGAAAAAGTATCAGTGAATTCTGGAAAACTTCTGCACACGAAATGAGAGATCCAAGGCAAAACCGATAGTGTTCTACAGAAGGATGCTGAGGATACAGTGGGTGGTGCATGTGAGCAACGAGAACGTTTTAAGGAAAATGGAAGCAAAAAGAATACTTATACCGAAAATCAAAAAAGCAATCGAAATTTCTAAGGGCTTAGAGAATTGAACAGTCATAGAACAATGAAGGCAAGACAGCAAAACAGTCTGTATCCTACCCTAAGTAGAAGGTGTAAATGGTTTGCAGAACAGTGAGCAGGAAGAATAGTAAATAGATAAATATTTCTAAAAACTCTGGGAAACCGTCGTATGATCCGACGTGACTTAACTGGAGTTTGAAACGCACATTTAAGCGAAATCCTTCTCCTATTAAATTTTGGTATTAAATTAACATTTTACTTTTTGCCTGATTGTCGAGTCTGCTACATGGCTGAGATGATTAAGGCACGTCGGCTCATTTCTAAGAAATACAAAAAAATTGAATGTTTTATGGCTCCAAAAAGAAGGAGAAAAAGGAGGGGCTCTGAACTATCCCCATTATATATATATATATATATATATATATATATATATATATATATATATATATAGCGTCTATATGCGTGGTGATTACCGGAGTTAATCATTTTCGAATGTTATTATCTAACACAGCCTGTTCATAACTCTCTTCTCATCAAGTCGATATGTATGTTATCACTCTCTTATTTTGCTCCCATCTATAAGCCAATCTCTTTCTATTCAGATATGCAGATATTGTGTGTTAATTAGATTTTCGTTATATATAAATCTATAGTATGTGTAATACTCTCTCACTCTATCTTTCTTTCATACACACACACACACACACACACACACATATATATATATATATATATATATATATATATATATGCATATGTATAGTGTGTGAAAGTGCGTGCTTATTATATCTATCTGCTTGTGTTTATATATCCAAATGATTTGTATCACTATAAGTATTTACTTCACCTACTACAAATAATTTTGTTTTTGTTTGTTTCTATCCATCCGTCCATTCAACCATCACCAATGTTGAATATCTCGGTCTCTTTATCGATCTAAAACCTTTGAGGCGAATTCTCTAACTTAATTTTTGCTTGATGAGCAAATTTTCAATGGAAGACTGATTGTAAAATTTTCCATCTTAATAAGATTTTATTTCATTTCATTGTTATTTTTTTTTATCTCTCTCAAAATTGCAATCTTTATGTCTCTCAAAATGGCAATTTTCCCAAAATCTTCATTCTCTCATCCCACTGATAATTTATATTTAAAATCCATTTTACTGTTATTAAACAAAACAAAATCAGGTGTTCTGATTCATAACTGGATTAGTTGAGTATTTCTTATTTGGTAGTCCTAGGTATGACGATAAACTACATCCCGCAGCAAGGCCTCTGATCGGGAGATTAGAGCTTTTGAGGATTATGGAATCACCTTTTAATTACTGTTGTTTTTAGGTCCACTCTAACCCGGATTAGTTTAAGCTGTTAGGATCCCAGCAAAGAAATAAAACACTATGAAAGTATAAAAATACATTTTTATAGTAAAAATATCAATTATATATTTGTATATATAATAATTCGGGCAATACCTAATTATAGTAAAATTACCGACATTACAGCAATCAACATGAAAGAACTTTCATGACATTAATCTACACAATATCTTAACATTTCTTAAATCAAGCAGCATTCCAAAATATAACTTCAACAAAACATAAGCACACATATGATCACATCTAGTTATTATGTTCACACAAACATCTATATGCATAAAAATTGAGTATCATCTACCATGTATTCAACTGTGAAAGCAAAATAACATATATAATATTTTTATTACTTCAAATCTCCTAAGAAAATTAAACTTTAGCATTAAATGACACATAAGTTGTTGATATGTCGATAAACAAATCAAAATTATTTTATATTGATAACAAACTTCTGTTTATGATACCCGAATAAAAGCCCGTATTTTGAAGGACCTTTTCAAGACGGGTTACAATGTGTTACACTATTTTCATGACCACTCTGATGCACCAATCGGTGTAAATGTAAATATTGAAATTAAGAACAGGATCGAATCCTTTGAAAAATGTTGAATCATTGCTGAAACCCACAGCGTTCTATTAAAGGTATTTCTTTCACTTGCATATAACAGAGCACACAAAAGAAAACGATTCCACCTCTTAACGTTGATATCCCTGAAGCCATATTTGCTTAATCTGATCTGAGCCTGCTCTTCATTCTAACGCTGTTGCCTTTAAAAACTGTTGATCTTTCTGTGCACCTATACTAATTGACTATGCACAATCTGGTCTACGTGTCTAGAAATATATATTTGAACAATGTTCCCAGAATTGAAGAATCACCAACATAGATTCAATATTCCCAGCAATTCTCGAAAATAACGATTGTGACTCTCCAAAGGTCTACAGATGGAATTGAACAAAAAGGTGCACATATATGTCTCTGTATCATTGAACCAACTTCCAATGGAATTTTCCCCCTCATTTAAACATAACATTATGCCACCATTGCGTTAACACAGACTCAGGTGTTCCAATTATATGACTGTTTATTTAACTCAAGATGGTCGAAGACGGAGACAATTTTACCAGAGACTTATTTATTACCTCGATCTATCTTCAGGTTGTACAGAGATCAAAATCAACAACATTTTCAGGATGTTGTATTAATTGTCCATACACAAAAGTTGTTTCTTGTTTAGAATTGGGTTTCCGATTCTTTCTAAAATATACTTCAACTATATATTTCTGACATTTTTGCATAAACTCTAAAACTTTATTTACTATTTATTTTTCGTCATTAGGAGTAGATAGGTTCAACTATCGTCAGGTTCACATTCCTCCCGGCTCTTTTGAATAGAAGTAGAGATTTATTTCTTGTTTTCTGTTCAGGGCTGCGTTTCTGATTCTTTGTAAAGGCTAATTTTACTCACTATTACTAACGTCCCGCGAACAATCTGAAAATTTATTTACTATTGATTTTTTCTCAATAGGAGAGGAAAGGTTTTTGCCTATCGTCCGATTAACACTTCTCCTCGATCTTTTGAACAGGAGGAGAGATTTATCACATGTTTTATTGATTATGGTTGGGTGTCCGGTTCCTTCAAAATTCTTTTCATTCTATTTCCCTACTAGTAATTCCTTGCGTCTTAGTGACATTATCGCCTTGCTTGGTGTGAACTGATTTAAAAAATAAACAAAAATAAAGTATGAAATGCAAATAAGCGGTATTGTTAAAGAAAACTTAAATTTTAGGACCGCAAAGGAATCTGAATGTTAAATTACGCAAAACATTATTGCTGGGTAGGACGATAAACTAAATCCGGTAGCAAGGTCTCTGATCGGGACATTGAAGGGGTTGAGGAGTGTGGAACCATCGTTTAATTGTTATTGTTCCCAGGTGCACCTTGACCCTGGGTGATAGCACCTGTTAGGGCCCCAGTTATGGATAAATGGTGAACCCCTAAACAAAAACAAAACACTATGAAAGTATAAAAAATTTTATAGTAAAAATACCAGCAATATATTTTTCATATAAAAAATTACCAACAATATGTATATATTAGTGAAATTACCAAAAAAATCCCTATTTATAGTTAAATTACTAAGAATTCATTTTCTCTGTAGTTGAAGGTATACAACTGCGTTGAAAATATTTAGATTTACATTGTTCGGACTGTTAACCCCAGCTTCGTTGTCTTATTCATGACTTTTCGAGTGACTGGAATTTCAAATTGATCCCTTTATTTCATCCACTGAGGTAGATAGTTCTAGTTCTACGTACCATGCCTCTTCCAGATATCTCAGTAACTCAAATGTAACTCAACCTTCCGAGTTTATAACCAGGTATTAAACTCATAACTACTTTGGGTGAAGTCACTAGATCCAAAAGAGGCCATGCGGCTTTGGGGACATCAGTGCATTAATTTGGGGGGCTTATAAACCTAATGTCTCAGTAATCATTTTTACTATAGCTCTTATTACAATGTTGTCGCTATTATTGTTTTTTTTCTCTGGTACTCCTTATTACCGGTTCCCATATTATATTCATTTCTATACTTGGCCGTGTTAGGAGATTTTTGTGGAATAGCATAAGCGCGAATTCCTTGTGTTTTTTTCGTATTTTCCAGTGATGCTCTATGTCTATTATTTCAACCTCATTCCGCAGGGGGTGGTGATCTCTCCTTTCCCCTCTAATATGTTGTTAACTACAGCTGATTTTTCTATTTTTCTTGTGTTACGGCTTTACGATGTTCCTGCAGTATTATCTTAAGTGGACAGCCTGTACTCCTTTATAATTCTTGCCTCAGCGGGCCCGTGGAACTAGAACAATCAACCCCGGTGGATGAAATAAATGGTTCAGTTCGAAATTCCAATGAAACTGACGATGGCCGGAGCGTACAACGGCTGAAACGTCGTGAATATGTCTACGAAAATGAGGGCAACAGTTCAAACATTTTAAATAGTGCAAATAATTACAATATCTCATCTCAGAAATATAGACAGAAATTTAATTAAAATTTAATTTAAGAAATTTTAATTTAATTAAATTAATTAAATCCTACAAAAAATAAAATAGCCGAGGAAATTAAAGCTTGACAAGAATTTATTAATTTGACGATTAATTTTCTGGATATTAAGAAAATCTTTATTTACTTTTACTTAAAATTTATTAAAACTTACATTTGATTACAGATGTCGTAAACAAATTGAATTTTAATTCAATATGCTTTAAAAATTACAAAATAACCCGAATATTATACTACTTATGATCTGCGAAAAATATTTTCACTTAATTAAAATTCCACGGAAATGAAAATAGCCGGCCAACTTAACACCCGAAAAAGAATTAGTTAATTTAACGGTTATCTTACGAGATACTGTCACAATGCAGCTTACCTTTTACTTAAAAACTATCGAAAACTAATATTTTTTACAGCTAGTGTCCTCATATCGAAATCAAATGCTAGTGTCCTTATGCCGAGATCAAAATTTTAAAACTGGATTTTAATTTATAAGCTCTTCATTAACCACTAATGTATGGAAGACAAAATGAACACAAATGAAGAATGTTTCGCAGCGTTGACCTCGGGTAAATATGTTAATAAAATTATATATAACAATCGAAAAATAATCTGTGTATTATTATATATTATTATATTATCCACCGTAGTATTTCGCCGGTTTTAGCGTGATAGAATCAGCATATTTCTTACCGTCTTATTAATGGATATGATGCATTAACGTTTTTAACACAAATTCACAGGTAAAACACCCATCCCCCAAAAATGCGATTTTATTGTTTTTATTTTGAGGGATAAGTAATGAATTAGTTTTTGTAGAAAATGTATTTTGAAGGCTACTATTTTTTTATTAATTGGTTTCCATTTGAAATTATTCGAATTGGTAATTAATGAGAAAATGTCATTTCATTTGAAATGTGATAAATAAATATTATGTATAAATACGAAAAAAAAAAGCCTCCTTGGCCTAATTGGCTACACGCTGACGTCTGTGTTAAAAGCCAGTGTGACTGGGAAAAGTTTACGTATAGCTAAATGTGTGCAGGTTGGGTTCCATCTTAAACATGAGCATGTGACGTATTAGCCTCACGGGTGGAGACAAGTAAATATATTTCTACCTTAATTTTTCTCATAACTATTTTTTTTTATTTTTAATTGAAATTTATTTTTAGTTTTCTATCTATCTATCTATCTATCTAGCTAGCTAGCTAGATAAAATGGCTATTATAGATGATAGTGGAATTATATATATATATATATATATATGACGCTCACGGGAGCGCGCAACATAAGTATCCGTCCGAACATTGTGACATTGTGAAGTGTTTTTGCTTTATCATGATAACTTAGGTATGGAGCACTGTTTAGGTGAGTGTTTGCCTTTTTGTTTTTTAGTAAATGTTTAATTTTCCTGTCTTCATATATCGCTATTTTGGATTTTGCTTTATTGATTGTAAGCATTTTCTTTTTATTGACTTTTATTTTCGTTACTTAGTAGACTCCCTGTCAGATTGGACTTTTGTGAAATATATACATTATATGTATATGTGTGAGAGAAAGAAAGAGAAAGAGATAGATAGAGAGAGAGACTGTTTTGGTATATAGATCTGAAATTCTATCACAGATCATTTTAATTGTTTCTTATTTTCTACAGTCTCTACCTATCCCCTCTCGGTTTTGGTATACTCTCTAGATTTCCCTTCTTTTTTTTCTGAAAATTCCTTGTGTGTTGCACACAGACCTTCTTCATTTTCCATCGCCTCAATCTTTCTTATTTTCTCTTCCCGCCTTCCCAACGAATATACGCGATTGTGTTCGCCTCTTTTCCTCTTAAAGGTCTCATTGGAAAAAATCTCATTTGTCAATTCCTGTTCATTGCTCCGCAGAATCTGACCACTCCATAGAATGTTGATTACTTCCTTAGGGGTTCTGTTGCCGCGCGTCTGGTTTGATACAGTCCATGTGGGAAAGACTCATCGTTTTTCATGAACCTTGATCCCTCAGCTGTTTTCCCGACTGAAGCACTTAATTCGAAATTGCGTTTTTAAATTTAATCCCGAAACATTCCGTTTTTTCGGACGAAGTGGCGCTCAGTGCTGATGGAATTAGTGCAAGTAGGTTAGTGTAAGAAGAACAGTTAGAAGCGATCACTCTCCTTGCATTTCCTGCAATGTTCTTAGGACAATCTTGACCCTGGAGGTTAAGTGAAGCAGGTTGCTGCGGCTAATGCATTCTAATCAACTTGTTTAGCACAGGTTAGAGTGTATCAGCATACCCACACTCTCCATCGTTCATGATGGCGATGTATGTACTGCGGTTCAATGAAATCCTATACCGAGGATAAATGACTTCATGACGACTTCTGTTGCTTTGGTTGTGGGAAGAATACTAAAAGATAGGAAGTCTATTGTTAGAAGAGAGGAAGATCTCCATTACGCATGCGTTTAATCATGCTTTGACAAAAACTCTTAAGGACAAACATGCGCGCACTTAATAATTGCCTATAAAATGGCACATGAATTTGTTGGTCACTTTACACAAAGACAGATATATTCTTACGCAAATTGTGACTTGAGTTCGAGAAAATATAATTCCCTAAGGGAATGACATCAGAATATACACTGCTAAATGTAATCAAGCATAAGCAATGAAGTGATCTGTGTGCATTTAAGGTCAAATAGGACACGACACGCCAAGTAGTTTCTACAGAAGTTTATTGAATAGAGACGTTTGTATTTACGAATCCATTATAGGAATAGTTAAACAACGACTAACAGAAAACTTACAGGAGATAAATATAATTAATATGAAAATGAATTCATAATGATATATTATGTTTTGTGTCCATTGCTGTAGAGCAGTGGTTAGCAAACTAATCTTGAATAATAGGACAACTGAATGGTTAATCATTTGTGGTCTTCAGCCCTACTCATCCAACAACCATAAACGGACATGATAATATTAGTAGTTTCCTTCCAAGGAAACATTCAACATTCACTGACCCCACAACTTTATTACTTTCGGTTGAAATTTATAAAATGCTTCTCTTAAAATAATTTTAAAGGTTGAATGTGTTGTTGACTTTATTTACCGCCATATCAACCGCTATGATTTATTTAATGCCGAAATCTAAATATCTGGAATGCAACTACAGATAAAATATATTGTTGGTCATTTTGCTATAAAATGTATAAGTTGGTAATTCTACTATAAATATGCATTGTTTCTAATTTTATCGTAAATATGTATTGTTGCCAATTTTACCATAAATATGTGTTGTTGCCAATTTTACCGTAAATATGTATTGTCGGCAATTTTACTATAAATATGTAATGTTGGCAATTTTACCGTAAATATGTATTGTCGGCAATTTTACTATAAATATGTAATGTTGGCAATTTTACCGTAAATATGTATTGGCAATTTTACTATAAATATGTATTGTTGGCAATTTTACGATAAATATGAATTGTTTGTAATTTTTTTATATAAAATGTATTACGGTTGTTTTTACTATAAAAAATGTATTTTTATGCATTCAGAGTTTTTTTTTTTTTTTTGGGGGTCACTATTTATCAAAAGCTGAGACCCTAACAGGTGCTACCACTCCGGGTCAGGGCTGATCTAGTAACATCAACAATTAAGATTTGTTAACGCGCTTCTCAAATCGTCCAATCTCCCGATCAAAGGTCTTGCTACCGTATGAAGTTTATCGTCATACCCAAGACTATAATCTTTAAGGAAAATCGATTTCTCAAGTGCCGTACATATTATCGCTTTTTTTGTTGGGTAACTCCTTTCTTATGTTTTGTTTTTAGTGCGAAAAAGATAGTAGAGAATAATAAGAAAACCTAATCCAATATTAAGGTCTTCCCTCAATTTTTGAGTAAAGTAGCAGCGCAGACGAGACTGGCTAACAATGTTAGAACAAACTGCCTCGGTGAAATCTATATATGAATTCATGATTATGGAAATAGCAATGACATTAGCAATTCACTGCTTTCTCCAAGAAAGGGGATGATAATTGACATGTATTGATGTAAAGAAGGCCGTGGAGAGACGTGAAATGTCACGACATTAAAAAAATAAATTGCTTGCTTGAAAATCACTCAAAACCACTTATTTCATTGATGTTGAATAATGAAAATAAAACTGTCGGTCGACATTGAGTGTTGAGCGGGAAATCACCACAAATATAATTTTATTCTTTTGTAAGCAAAGGGTCATAAAACTATTTTCCAAGTTCCTTTATGTTGAAAAAATATGTTTTCATGAAACAATCTTCCTTCTTAAATAGAGATTCTTCCCTCATAATAGACCTTTTTTTTGACATGCTGAATGCATAAGAACTGTAATTAACAAAAAACTATTCAAGCAATCTTTGTCTAAAATTATACGTTCTCTTATTTTTTGGATAATTTCTGCACTTTTAAGTTACTAAAACTCACTTATATAAAACAAAATGTCAAATGTTTCAAAGGATCCTAAATGTTAAACGAATATGTTTTAATTATTTTCAATTCCTTTAAATATTAAAAACGTGTATATATTTACATTACGTACCTATTCATACAATATATTTAAACATATAAACTGAACAGTTGCTAAAAATGCAATGTTGTAATTGAGAATGCAATGATAGATTTTCATATAAGAGACTTAATAATCCTAAGACCTTTCATTTTAGAAAAAAAAAATTAATGTAAGTTCTTATTACAATATAACCGCCTTTAGATTTCGATTTACATTTTTTGAGACATAGCTTCGAATAGGGTCGTTATCAACGATATAAGATGCTTATTTGATGACAATATTTTCACAAGGGACGCGTGAACGTCATACACCGGCGGTGAGTGTCGTTACTATAAAATATTTTTAATGTCCTATATTTCCAGTAAGCTTCGTTGGGAATGTGATTTTTTTTATTTCTTTTTCTATGCATGATAATTGTTTAAAACATTACAAGGCTCATATATAAACGACTTACACAGATGTCAACAAAAGATTTTAAGCCAATGACAGCAAGATTATCAGAGTCTTAGAAAATGAAAATAAACAATAATATCCAAACCAATTTTTTTTATATAAGAAAAAAATGTAATGATTTTTAACATCATTTAGGTAATTAATGTTTGATTTGGTTATGTTTTTTAATTAAATAATATTATCTAGTTTAAATGTCTTGCAAAAAGTAATGAACACGTTTTCAGATTTTATCATGCAATTATATTTTCTACGCTTTTAAATTGAATCAATAAAATGTCTCCTTATTTCTGCAATATCATCTAAGTTGTCCCTGATTTTTGGTAAAAAAAGTGATTATTTGTATTGTTTTAGTAGTATAAAAAACACATTGACTCTGTGGGTGTCAAAGAAGCACGTCACGATACGTATAACAAATCTGGCAGCCATGTTACTGGGTTCCATAACTGGGGGTAGATATATAAAGATCTAATTTATTATATATATATATATATATATATATATATATATATATATATATATGGTCAGAAATTATTCGTTAAAACATGTTTTATTGAATACAATTGTAAAGGAATATATTTTCTTGCCATTAAACAGCTGCCGAATAAGGCATCTGATGTCAAGTGGAAACGAACTTGTGAGTTTCATTCCAATTACATATGAATGTAGGTGATCATTTTCAAGTAACTTAGGAGGAAATCATGAGAACGTTATTCTCTTAACTGTTCGGGTTTAAAACAAACAGGTGTATAAATGCTATTTTAATGAACAGAATATATACATATAACTGTCATGTGTATATTTCTTTTATTACTTATATAAAATGCTTTATTTCAAATACTTTTAAAATAACTTAGTAATACATATTAAAATAACATTTTTTTATTACTTAACTATTAACAATATGTTTAATTGGGATTTTCAAAATGAGCATTTACCAACTACTTTGGATTTTCTTCCAAGATCATCTCCAAGGTTGCAAGTAGTAAAAAACTATATGTTGTTCAGTAGCACAAGTATTTATACAAAGCTGTAATTTACCGTAATTTTTCATTATGCTTTTAAATGCTAACGGTTGACAATGTGCTGAGCATTAATTAGAACGTGAAAAAAAAATACCCATATGGAATTTTTTCCTCTGTGTTACAATGTCAGGAAAATGAAAAAAAAAATAAATAGCTAGAGCACATTTCTCTCATACTTTAATTACAATACACGGAAGGTTATTCGTGAATATGAACGGATTTTGTTAAGAATTAGCATATATAATGTCTGTAATTTATTCAATCAGACATGCCTAAAAGAGAATTTGTTGCTTATATATATATATATATATATATATATATATATATATATATATATATATATTAAGGTTATGTTTTAATTTCATATACGTAAATGATCAGTAGAAAATATAACTTAAAATAAAAGCGATATATTTTAAAGTTACTGAGAAATGTGAAGCAAAGCGTGAAACAACAATTAAAAATACAAGTGAAACTGTTGACGACCTAAAAGCATTTTGACATTTTCCTATGAAGACATATCAAAATAATGAAAAAGGGTAATAAAAAAGAAAAGTGTGTTGGTCAAAAATAAAATATCTTCAGATGGTCGCTTAGGAATATAAATAGAGAGGAAAGACTTCGAATAAAAACATCAAAAACTATCAAATTTAAGTAATCATCAAAAGAGAAGCGTGTAAAATATGCCAGCATTTTTTCAGGCAGTCGATTTTTCATCAATATTGAGTACTTTGCGCAAGATTTCATATATATATATACATATATATATATATATATATATATATATATATATATATATATATATATATATATAATTACAGAAAAGGA